TTTTAAATAGTTCAACTGGAATGCCATCACCTCCACTGGCCTTGTTGTTAGCCAAGCTTTCTAAGGCCCACTTGACTTCACTCTCCAGGATGTCTGGCTCTATGTCAGCAACCACATTATCTGGGTTGTCTGGGATATCCAAATCTTTCTGGTAGAATTCCTCTGTGTATTCTTGCCACCTCTTCTTGATGTCTTCTGCTTCTGTTATGTCCCTACCATTTTTGTCCTTTATCATGTCCATCTTTGCACAAAACATTCCTCTAATATCTCCAATTTTCCTGAACAGTTCTCTGGTTTTTCCTTTTCTATTATTTTCCTCTATTTGTTTGCATTGTTCATTTAAGAAGACCCTCTTGTCTCTCCTTGCTATCTTTGGAAGTCTGCATTCAATTTTCTGTAACTTTCCCTGTCTCCCTTGTATTTTGTTTCCCTTTTCCTCTCTGCTATTTCTAAGGCCTCGTTGGACAGCCACTTTGCTTTCTTGCATTTCCTTTTCTTTGGGATGGTTTTTGTTGCTGCCTCCTAACAATGTTACGAGCATCTATCCAAAGTTAAGTACTTACCCCATTGCTTAGTAATCTTTCTTACTGAGTTTTGCATTTATGTATTTTTTGCACCATAAGACGCACTTTTTTTCCACAAAACAGGGGGGTGGAAAGTCTGTCCGTCTTATGGAGCGAAGAAAACAGATTATATTTTCCTGTTTTCTTCTCCTAAAAAATTGGTGCGTCTTATGGAAAGGTGCGTCTTATGGAGCAAAAAATACAGTATGTAAGTATGTATGTATGTATGTATGTATGTATGAAAATCATAGTAGCGTCCAAAAAAGTAAGCATAATGATTTTTGCCGTATTGAAATAGTTTCTTTAATAATTTTAATAATTAATCTCTGCTGTTTGTTTTTTCCCCAGGAGGATCCAAATAATATTGCAAAGAAAGATCAACGCAATAATAATGTGGATGACAAGTTCCAAAGTATGGAAACCCTACCACCAGGTACTGAAGTAGTGCATATTAACTTTTAACATAAAATATGGCCTGGCAGTATTACTCAGCTAGCAAGGGTAGGGTACTTCTTTGGTATATGAGTCAGCTAAAAAGGAAGATCTAGTATGACATGGATTGACTCAATGAAAGAAGCAACCGTTTTTAATTTGCAAAACCTGAGCAAGGCTCCCAATGATAGAACCTTCAGGAGGTATGTAATTCAGAGAACAGGCATAGTCTGAAGTAAACACCATATAACATATAAGGACATGATGGGGGAGAAATTATTTTTTAAATTTTGATTGATAAAATATTGTGAATACAACTTAATGAAGCCTTTAGGCTTCACTTGTCTGTGCATATACCTCATTGAATGTAAGCAAGGTGAAGAGCTTTCTCTCGAGGAAGGCTTTCCCTAAGAGACTGGTCTGCCTGAGTGGGATTTCAAATGGATTGTGGTACCTTACTGCTTTGAATTTGTTTTGGTGTTGTTAATGTTTTTTTTAATATGGTATTTGTTTGGTCCTTTTGTACTTGTATACTCACCATTGTTAGTGTTAGGAGCTGTCTTTTAATGATGTAAACCACCTTGGGTCCATTTTAAAGGGAAAGGTGGGGTGAAAATATTTTAAATAATTAATAAATAAACTCAGAGAGTAGACTTGTATAGGAGTGTGCTGGTAAGAGGGCAGTTATTTTTGTTTTGAACTGGTACAGGCTTGCAATGGTTCATAATTTCTGCAGTATCATTCATTAATTCACAATGAAAGGTGTAGTCCTGTTTATTTTTTACTTAAAGTCCTCATGATTGATGAGAGGCACCTGAAATGGCAGTATTTCCTGCAGAGTCAGAAATATTAAAACAACAAATGTTTTGTAAAATTATGATGATTGAATATTTAGTATTAGCAAATTACTAGGATTTTTTTCCTTGACATTATATGGTTCTCATTTTGGGCAGGAGCAATCTCTGAAAAATGGGATATGTGACTAATAAGATACTTAGTTCCAGGGTGGTTCTGGAATAACTGAGACAAATTTTGCAGCTGCCACAGCACAGAAAAAACAATGCACATACCAAATACTACAGAGGCAAAACTTCTGTACTTTATCAGCTTCATGACTGTGGTTGGAGGTTTGGGCCCCGTGCAGTTCAAAATCTATGTAGAACTCATGCCCCCCCCCAATGTAACTATAAAGAATAAAATGTTGATATTCTCTCTCACACACACAAACACATACACACAGAGCCTCCCCAGCTGCCATATGCAGCCACCATGAGGGAATTGGCCAGGCTGCCACCATCACATCGGGGGGAGGGGGCTGCTGAACTGCCAACAGGGCCCCAAACCCACATTTTCCAGTCCACATCCTGGACACTAAGAGCAGAACAGTATTTATTGAATATTTACATATTTACTTATTTAAAGTGTACAACCAAAACTGTGCTGCTCAGATCTGTACAATTTGGGGAAGAAGTGTACTTGTCCTGCAAAGCTTTTAGATTGATTGGAGGTTTTGTGCATTTGTATTGTTAAAAGCTGACATGTTCACAGACAAGTAGTAAAGATTATGGAGTTTTGCAAAGCCATTAACTTTTTAATGAGTAAACACACTTCCTTTCAAAACCCTAAACACCATTTCCTGATGAGCTCACTGCTGTTAATAAAATATGAGGATTATAGCTGATTGAATTCAGCACTGTCAGCTTTTACAGGAGATAAAAACATGAACTTGCCTCCTGAAACTTAACTTAAAAGATTAATATCCACCTTTGTGAATTAATTTGTCCCAGCCCATATGTGTTAATTTTTCTTAAATTGACCTCCCAATTTATGAGCCTACACTTTTTAATTAAACTTTCACAGTTCACCTTTTAAATAAAGTAGGAATTAATATACTTCAACCTTTCAGTTACTTTTTACAGTTGAAAGATGCTATAAAATCAGTGTTACCCTTTGTAGCTAATATTTCCTGTTTGGCCATTTTCCTAATGAAATCTCACAAAAAATGGCACTATTTTTAAAATTGATTGTCTTGTAGTTGATCACCTCTTTTGTTTGGATCTGTTTCTGTTGATGTTTACTACTGGAAAGTTCTGGCCTGTTTTAGTTCTAGATGTGTAAGGAGGAACTAAGTAATGGAGCCAGCCAAAATAAGAGCAATGATATATAGAGGGTATGAATTTCAACAAACATTTCAGTACAAACTAATGGAAAATGTGCTTTTCTCTCAGGTGTTTATAGTGTCACCTTGCTGACATAGCAAAGTGTAACTAGCAAAAATTGACCCAAATTCTTCTTTCTTAAATCTGTCAATGAGGATTCAGGAAAGAACCAAGATTTTTAAGGCCTCCCCAGGCACAAATAACTAAATGTGTTGCACCTGAAGCAAAGTAACCAAGTCTGTCTCTCCAATGAATTAAATCTAGTTTCATTATTATTTTTGCTGACTTCATATCCATGGCAATTCTAGAATGAACTCCAAACTTAAACAGGGATAATAATCTAGATTGCCAGGTTGGAATTGTTATAGTTTAAACAGTATTTACTTGCTGTACTAATCTAAATTAAATATCCTTGTTGACATATGAAAGAATTTCTGAGACAGTATGCACATGAAATTAAATACAGTATGGCCAAAATCTTGTTACACCCACTGGCATACTGCATTCAGTATAAACCTCCATGGCGAATTGCTGCAAGCTAAGCAGTTAACATAGGCATTTGCTGTTGTGTGGCTAGTCATGCAACTCAGTCTTAACTTCTGACAATTCACTACACAAAAGTAAAAGCGTAATAGGATTTTGGCTTGTATCTGTTAAGAAAACTCTATGTGTTTCCCACATTCCTTTATGCCTGCTGGTATGTATAATACCAGTGAATAGCAGACTTTAAAACAGCCTGGAAAATCGAACACAAAGTGTATTTTGGGGGTTACGGTGATATGTTGGTTATGATGCCAACATGCTAATGAAGAAGGCACAGAAGAGGTTGTATTTCCTGAGAATGCTCAGCAAGTTAAATTTATCTCAGCATTTACTTCTGTCATACTATCGTAGCACCATTGAGAGTGTCCTAACCTATGGCATTCTGGCATGGTTTGGGAGTAGCTCTGTAGCGGACAAAAAAGCTCTACAGAGAACCATTAAAATTGCCGAGAATATCATCGGGCTCCAGCTACCAACCCTGGATGACATCTTCACATCCCGCTGTCTGAGGAAGTCACACAGCATCCTGAGAGACTCTTCCTATCCTGCTTATAACTTTTTTGAACTGTTACCGTCTGGCAGAAGATATAGAACAATTAAGACTCGGACCACACGTTTTCTGAATAGTTTTTATCCCAGAGCTATAATTGCAATTGATAATGAGCTTAAAGACCACAAGTAGTGAATAATTAGTTGGACTGTGTTACTTGGCCTGCGGTGTAGATGTTTGTATTTTTAGTGGGGGACTTTTAGTGGGTGGGGAGTGTTTGGGGAATGTTATGTGTGTGCATGTGTCTGGTCTCTGGGTATCTGTGAATTTCGTTGTATGTGTATATACTTACAATGACAATAAATTATTATTATTATTATTATTATTATTA